GGGGGCGGGCCGCCCCAGCCACACGCAGCGGTGCCATCCCCTCCCATCCCGTCCCACACTCACCCATGCCGTCTCTGCGGGGACGCTGCAGAGCGGGAAGCGGTGGGGTTGGCCGGGGGCGGGGCGGGGGGGGGGTGCCCCCCCCTGCCGTTATATAGGGCTCAGCGGGTGAGGTGGGGCCAAACTACAACGCTCGCCCTCCAGTTGCCATCGGGGCTGGAAATTTATGGTTTGTTTGTTTGCCCTCCACCTGTGAGCAGCTCTGCTCATGCACCAGCTGTCGGGCTTCTGCGATAAGAGGTCCCAAACGAACCTCAGCAAACAGCACCTGATGTTCACACAAAATTCCACCAAACTGACAAATGATAAGGATTTTTCTTGAGTTTGTTATTACTTACGGGATTTGATGCCAAACCCTGTGGTGATGCCGGTGACCTGGGCCATGCTGGAGATCTCTGTTAGACGCCCTTTAGGGTCTGCCTACCTTAGCATGGTGCATCACCCGAGAGGGAGCCATGCTCTGTGGCACTGCATCCTGGTTCCCATCCACGCCGGGGCAGCAAAGGGGCCTTGTCCCCCGCCCTGAGCCCACCACGGCGATTCAACTGCCCAGTGTGGTGCCAGCCCTCCAGCAGAGAACCCGTCCCATGGGGCAGCCACGCATGCGGAGCTGCTGCTGCCCCGGTGCCGGCGCGGGCAGGTTCCGCAGCGCTCCCAGGAGGTTCAGTGCTGGCGCCTCAGGAAGCCGAGGGGTCTGCTGGAGGGTTTAGCTCTGACTTCACAGCTGTGGGTAGGCTGGGGAGCAGAGCTCATCACAGAGCCGGTTGCAGACTCGGTTAACGAGGTGGCTGTGTGTTAAGTGGAATAAACGCTTAACGGATGCCGAGTGGTCCAGTCTGAAGCCAGCCTTGCAAACGGCCCAGGGGTGGGACGGGAGTGCTAAGGCAGTGGCATAGCCTGGTGATGCTGGCTTATAGGTCAGTGACACCGATCTAGGACCGTGGTGAGGTATTTATTGATGGTTTGATACCAGCAGCTGCTGAGCCACCGGAGTGTGGCCATGCACTGGCCCTGGGATGCTCCGCGGCACCATCGGGGACCCTCACGGGCTCTGCTGCCACAAGGCTGGTGCTGGCTACTTGGCCCCGTGTTGCCTTCATCCCCAGGTCCCTCTTCCCCAGGTGGCATTGCCACCTCTGCTGTCCTCCAGGAGACCAGCAGGTGGTGGTGGAGGTCCCAGCACCAGCACGCCCGGCCACCGTGCCAGCACCTCGCAGTGCCCTGCCTGGCCCCTGCCCTGGGTTACTCCAAGACCAAATGACTCTCAGTACAGCGAGAAGGATGTTTTTCACCAAGGGACACATCTTCCCCTGCCCTACACCAGCCCCTCGTAAAGTTACCAGCTCCAAAATTACACACGCATTCACAGAGAAGAAGATTCTTGCCAGCTCCACTTTGCAGAAATATTTGTCGTGCTGTTGGACAGCAATGAATAACTTAGACCTGACCCAAGTCTGTCCTCAGCAGTTTCCTTTTATGAAGCACTTTTCTTTTTACAAGAGCTTCGCAAAGTCCCCTGATAGATAACCTGGGGCTGTAGCATTTGTCTTTGATACATTTCTGGCAGCCAAATTTCAAAAAGATGAAAAGGGTCTTCCCAGCCCTTTCAGCCACCCCCCCATGCCATGCAGGAGCAGCAGCAGGGCTGGCTCCCCACACTCGCCAGGGCACCAAGTGTCGGCACCAAGCTGTGGCCGACATCCCAGTCTGTCACTGCCTGTGACCCTGGGGAGCGCTGGGGTGGCCCTGCCTGCTGTTACCCTTCGGTGACTCCTGCCACCCTCACTTGAGAGGCGAAAAAGAGGTCCCTGAAGGAGGGCCTGCATCGTGAGCTCTCCTTGTGCTGGTCACCCCTGGAGGAGCGGTGGTGGGGCACGAGCGGCCTCGGAGCAGCGAGCCCAGCTGAGGCACACAGAGGTGGCAAGTGGAGCAGAATTATGGAGCGAGGGAGGGGAGGCAGAGGAGGGGACTGAGCCTCCTGTGCAGATGGGGACAGGCGTCTGCCCCCTCGCTCCTCCCCTGCCCTCGCTCCCCCGCTGGGACCTGCTGCCAACAGTGCTGCCATCACCTTCCAGAAGACAGAGCAAACTGCAGCCCAAGACCCACCGCTAGCGACACGCAGGAGTGCAGAGCGGCCCAACAGGACTGACACAACGTGGGTCCAGCAGAGTCAGCGGCAGGTGATGGGCGAGGACCTGCTGATGCCTCCCGAGGCACTATATGAAAAGAGGGACTGAAAGAAGAGGGAAACAAGGAGGACACTCCGACCCAGTCCTGAGGGTTTGCCAAAGTACCCTGCAGTAGCGTGTGAAACAAGCTAAACCTCCCCTGACAGATGTGGTCCCAACAGCTGTAGCCACTGCTCGATGAGCTGGCCCCGAGCGCGTTTAAGATGCTCTCCCAGACAGCACCCAGGCTGCCGGGGCGATGCCCACCCACATGCGGTGGGGAAGAGCAGGAGGTCAGCAGAGCCTTCCCGAGCCTGTTTCTTCCCACCAAGAGGTATGGGCCAAGGAAGGGTAGGGGAAGGGGCACTGCATAGACACCTCAGAGCTGCCCCCAGCATCCAGGGGACAGGGATGGCCCCTGGGAAAGGCGGCTGCCTTCAGCCCTCAGCCTCTACTTATTGAGGGCAAAAAGGCCCCAGTGTTTGCAGCCCAGCTCTGGGTTTGGCTTCTTGGCAGCTCTCTGTAGGGAAGGAGCCCGACACAGACCTCCAGCTATCACAGAAGTGTCGTGACATGCTGGGAGCTGGTAACTGTTGACAAACCATTGCCCAGAGGTTTTACCCTCTTTGATCTCTCCTTCTGTTTGCCTTTCCCCTCTCCTTTAGCTCCTTTATTGCCCTGCAGCAGTTGGTAGATCCCCAGAAAGATTTAACTCCTGGGCAGGTCCAGTTTATTGCAGTTGATAAACGCCCCACAGCTGGGAGGTTTGGAGTTCTGTATTTTTTTCTCAGAAAAAAAAACCTTAGGGCCTCTTCGTATAATCTTGAGCAAAGAGAAGCCACCAGATGGGCACACAATGATTAACTTTGCCCATGCAAACAGGGGAGCTGAGATCCTCGCACAGAGGTGTGTAGAGGGAGAGACCCGGGTATAAAGGGACAGAGGCCAGCATGGAGCTGAGAGTAGCGGGACTGACTGCTCAGGCTCCCGGCGTCCGCTCAGCAGCACCACGGCCATGGGTGAGTTCTCCTCTTCCTCGTGGCTCCTTTTCTGCAGGGCTCGCAGCTCGGGGGGATGCAAGCAGAAAACCAAGCTAAGTGACAGCCGTGGGGGACCACGGGAGCGGGAGCTGATGAGAGCGTCCCGCGTCCGTCCCACTCCTCCCCTTTCCACCCAGCCGTTTCTTTCCAGTTCTCTGCTGCTGCCGCTGCTGGGTTGTTTCCTGCATCCCCGTGAACTGCATGGTCTGCAGCTGGAGCACCAGGTTTTATACACCAAACTCAGCTGCAGTGCTTTGAACTATTTGCTCTGAATGCCCTTAACACCGATTTACTTCTTTCCCTTTTGCATCTAGACCTGTAGAAGAACAAACAAACCACATTTAGGAGAAACATGAGAAAATGTGACTGCAGGTTGCTGTCTGGTGCAGAGACGGGGCTGACCGGGGGGTGGCAAAGCCATTTCTCACCTTGCTTCAGCCCTGCAGGGACAGAGCCTACACCGAAGCTGCAGCTCCCACCCCCCCGGGAGCCCCCTGCTCCTGCCTGTGCCCCGTGGCTCTGCCTTCCCTGGTCTGAGCTCCCCAGGGGCTGGGGGGCTGCCCAGGGACCCTGACAGCGATGGGCACTTTCCTCCCCAGGGCTCCAGGCTGGGACACATCGGCTCTATGGGGACCTTGTCCTCCTGCCCGCGGCGATGGTGATGCTTGTCCTCTGCGTGAGCCCAGCATGCGCTGCCACCTCCCAGAGCGGTGAGTACAGGCGCCGGGGGGACGGTCAAGGAGCCACCAGGTTTGGGTGCAGCTGCTCTGCTCATCGCTGAGCACAGCCAGGCTCTGGGGTGCTGGGTGCAAGTGTCCCCATACCAGCAGCCACAGAGACAGCAGGTCTCCACATTCAGACCTAAGCTGCAAAGTAGGGTAATCCTTGCCTCTCATCACCAGCAGATAAGAGGCATTCCCAACATGTTCCACTGGTTGCAAAGCACCTGGTGAGATCCAGCATCAGTACGGCTGCCCCACAGTAACCTGCCAGCACGTTCTCCGGCACAGGTTCCTCATGTCTTGCTTGATCTGATGCCGCAGGGTTCCCCAAAGACTGCAGTCACCTCGGCAGCAGCAGCCCCAGCGGGGTGTACGTCATCCAGCCGGCAGGGTCACCCCCACGGGTGGTGTGGTGCGACATGGACACCGAAGGCAGAGGCTGGACTGTTGTCCAGAGAAACACTTACACCACCGAAATCACCTGGAAGGAGTCCTGGACCACCTACAAGTACGGCTTCGGGAACGTGCAGGGCGATTATTGGCTGGGGACCGAGTACCTGCACCTGCTGACGCAGCAGGGCACCTACAAGGTCCGCTTCGCCGTGCAGAATAAAGCCAACGTCACCCATTACGCCGAGTACGACATCTTCAGTGTGGAAAGTGAGGCTAGCGGGTACCCGCTGAGGCTGGGCCGGTTCCTGGGCAGCGGAAAGGACTATCTGACCAGCTATCATGCCAACTACGGGGGCATACACGACAACATGAAGTTCAGCACAACCGACAAGGACCAGGACCAGTCCAGCGGGAACTGCGCCAGCAGCTATGGCTGCTGAATGGCAAGGGGTACATCTACTGGCCAGAAGCCTGCTCAAGCGGCGACTGCACATCCTCCCTCATCCTGGTCAAACCCACAGATGTGTGCTGACCGTGCCGCAGTGCCCAGCCTCCCAGGAGTTAGCAGGAGTGCCACCGTCCCCAGCTCAGTGCCCCATTCCAGTGCCTGCCGGCAGCCCCGTGCCAGCCCCGGCGCATGTCCTGCGCTGCCTGCATCTCCTGCACCATCACCAGCTGAAACACAGCGGCTCTGGGGCTCAGGAGCAATTGCCTGGAGCCCGGGCACGCGGGCAGCTTTGCCCAGTGCCACGGTGCTGGCTGGCACTGGGACGCAGGCACTGGTTTGGGGTGGGTGCGCTCACTCCTGTCCCGGGGAGGGGGAGACAGTGCAAGTTCCCTTCCCTGTGCAATCAGTGCATCCCTGCTTTGCTCAGGCCCTGCTCCCTCCCCGGGCCCCATACACCCCACAGCTCTGCTACCCACGGTGGGAGAAATCAGCTGCAATAAACCCTGGAGCCAAACTTTGCTGCTTTGTGTCTACCTGCCGCCGCGACACTGCACACACACAGGAGAAGTTGAGGTCCTGGGGTGGTGGGGGATGCTGGGGGGCACCGTGTTCA